GATATTTTAAAATATCTGGCTGGCAGTGGTGATTATTTAGGGGGCTACAGTGAGTTCAGTGCTCCCCCTTCAATTTCAGACAGTAGATACACATTGTCGAATTCAGTGGAGTATGATTGGTGATATAAATTGTCATGCTTGATATTCTTGATGGGCAGCTGATATGGGAACAAAAAAGTACTCCTGGAAGCATGCAGCCTTGATAATGTAACTTCCCTTTTCACTTTTGCTTAATAATTGTGCAAACCCAGATTTCAGAGTTGCTGATTGTTACTGACCTAAGCAAGTTTCCCTGACCTCAGAAGGATCAAAGGGTTGATCTTTCTGGCACTGCTTGCAAGCATTTTAACTCCTGAATTCTCGTCCTTAAATGCCCATCTCTAAGTACCTGGTAGATGCCCAGGAAGCTCCATTGGTTCCTTGTGCCATGGCTGTTACTGCAGCTCTGAAGCCCTAAGATATGACAGGAGATTTCCTCCACGCTCCTGAAGTCACATTTCCTTGCTGGCCATGCAGCTTGTCTCCAGCTGAGCTTTGTCTCCAGCTCCAGGAGATCTGTGCCTTCACTCCCTCTGGGCCCCAGGTGAAAGGTGTGAATGGGGAGCCCTTCACAGGCAAATTGAGTCTGTTATGCAGTGGAATGTGTTTCTAGAATTGTGACTTGCCATTCATTCACACTCATTGACTGCACTCCATAAGCCCATTTTCTTTGCACTACACATAATGCTGAAAAGTAGGAGAAATGATCTTAGCACATTCCCAGGCAGACAAGGCCAATACCATCATCTTGAGCAGGAAACTTCAATTGTAAGGAATTTTCTGGAGTGACAGGAACGTTAACTTAGGTAGTCTACTTATTTCAGCAACAATATTTTTCCCCTTGTTAAAAGCATAAATTCAAATAGTTTATGAAGAGGGGATTCAGTGGTGCTTGGGTTTCTACAGGAAATAATTTACACATCTGAGTTGTTTTTTTTTTTTTTTAATGTTAAATTTACGTTTTCCCTAAGTAAGTTTGCACACATGACGAGCCAAGAATGTCTCCCTTGGCCAACTTCATCTCTGTTCCTTTTTGGCACAGTTCAGACAAAATAACTTAGGTTGGGCAAGAGATAGGCCTCGCGAATTTTGGGCTTAATGAACACGAGAAGTACAAAACAGACAATTTTGGCAGATTTCATTGTAACACTTGAAAATGTTTGTTTTTTCTCATATCAAGCTTGTGCAGAGGGTAGAAGTGTTTGGTGAATTTGTCTTGTGCTAGAATTACACTTTCTATTTATATAATCAACATTAGGTCAGTTGTTTATAACAGAATTAATGGTCTTGTTTATACAGTGTTCAGCTTTTATACATGTAATTCTTCTCTCCTTCCATTTTCAGGTTAGGGTCTTGTTTTGTTTTTCTGCATGATACACAATTGAAACAAAATGTGTTGAGCATGTGTGTGTTATTCCAGACTTTATTAGAATTCACTACTTGTATGAAATATAACAATATGTGGATGCGCTCTTATAAACCATGGTCAGAGGGGTTTTGTGTGTGTTTTTTTTTCTCATCATCATAACTTTCCTTTCTGCCAAGATGTTTTTGGCAGTTTTTAAAAGGTTTGCCATTAAAAATGTTATGGACCAAATGGTTTTTTAAAACTTTATTGAGGGCACTACTTAAACAAAGGAAGAGTTGGCGCAGAACTCATTTCAGCAGACCTTTGTTCTGGAAAGTGTTGATATCTGGAAAAGAATAAGCAAAGACAACAAAACAGTAGGAATGACACTGAATGCAATTTTAAAAATGAATTAGAAAATCCCTTGTAAAAGGGAAGTATTTTTGCTTCTGTTCTTGTCACCTCAAGTGTACAGAAAAATGTACCAGAGACAGCATTCCCTCTCCCTTTCCCCCTCCTCTTATTTATCTTTTTTATTCTTTTTTTCTTTAAAAAAAATTTATATGTATTTATGCTGTATAATACATGATGTGGAACTTCCAATCTATGTATGTCATTATTTGAGCATGAACTTACCATCCTTATTTGCTAAGCACAAACAAAGATACAGTGCAGCACAGTAGCAAGCTGCAGCTTTGCAAAGTTGATGAGCTTGACTGCTCCTGAAGAACTGCAAGTGTTTATTTGGGTTTTCCTGCTAACATTTTGGATATATTTATCTTTCCCGTAAAACTAAACTTGCTTCTGAAATGCCAGTATTTAATAGCAAGAGCAGTATTTAGAAGAATTAAGTGAATTTGATGGCTACATTTTTCTCCTCTTCCAGAGCAAGAATTTACTCTTTGAGAAGATTAACGGTGGACCAAAAAGAAGAAAGAGGGTAACAGAATAATTTATAGCTCCTTTATCTTCTAGAGTGCTAATAAGGATAAAATCATACTGTTGAAATGAAGTTAGTCTAATGTGAGTGCATTACACCTCAGGTAGTTGTAAAGTCAGGAAGTTTCTGTGATAAACTGCTGCAGCAGCTCCATGGCTGCCCATGGAGTGCAAGATGTAATTTTCTACATAGGATGTTGTACTTCAGTGCAAAGCATTTGTTCACAAACTTTGTATTATTTGTGGAGATCCTGATTGCATAAACTCACTTGAAATTCTTTAAGTTCCCTTAAAACCAAATAAAAAGTTTCCTGTTAAAAATATTGGCAAAATTAATCACCTCTTCCCATGCATTTCAATATTCTTTCGGTCGTGAATAGCAGCAGAATTGGCCGTGAATTAGCAGCCAATGTCATTCCATTAACTTGCACACCGTGATGCAGCTCAGTGTTAAACTCCCAGCTCCGTGTCCCATTTGCTGGTTAGAGCAGGAGGAGAGCATTCCTCACCTCTCCAGCCCCAGCACAAGGGAGGAGGAGGTGAGTGCTTTGGAGAATTTTTGTACTGTTCACACCACTGCATTCTCTCTTTCTTTTTTCAGCAGTGTCAGTCTGTCCTTTATCAAGTAATCCCTTTCCCGCAGAGTCTTTAGTTTTGCTGCTGGTGTATTTTTCACAAGAAGAAAACAGGGTTTTACATTATTCTCTGCCAAAAAGTAGCTTTGTAAAATATGAGAGCACAGTTAATTTGACTTAATTTGCAGTATAGAGTTGAAATAGTTGAAGTGTAAAGGAAGGTGATTTATTTATTTATTTGTTCAGTTTGTTTAACTCTCAAAAGTAAAGTTTGCCAGAAAGGGATGGGCTGAATTCTCATTGGTAATAGACATGGTTTGATCATAAGTTTGAGATCTACCTTCAGCTCAGTGTCTACCTCCCCCTTATGCTTAATTTTCAAGTTTGTTAATAGAAAAAGTGCGGACACCTTATTTTATGTCTGAAGTAGAATTTACTCTTGGAACAGGAATATTTACTGCTCATTAAAACAGCGTAATAAGTGCAACAAAGGCACAAGAAAAAGACGCATTTTTTGTTTGCATGCTGACTGATGTAATCAGATAGATACAAAAGGAATAATGGCTGAAGAGACATGATAGCCCTGCAGCCAGGGACTGCCTGGAATTTAGGAGATGAACCTTCAGCTTTTTTCTTTGCAGCAAATTTATTTTCTTAGCCCAGGTATATCATTTAGATGTAAATTTATTATCATTGCAATCATTTCTCTATTATTTCGAAAAAAATACTGTAATGACTACTTATGCTGCAATGAACAATTTGGAATTTTCACTGCATCAACAGACAGGCAGCACAGGGGTGAGAACAGCAGAGTACTGGGCCAGATTGCAAAGAGCCCACCTGCCTCTCCTCCTACCCTCTGTGCTCCCGTTGGTGCCCTCTGCACAGCAGAGCTTGTTGAGGATATCTGCTGCAACAGACTGCTCTTTGGGATCAGAACAGTCCCATTTTTAGACTAAATCTGTCATGTTTGGAGTTGGGTTGTCCACAGAGAGTGAAGGTGTTGTATCTACACAGTGCCGTACAGGGGGACCGTGGGATTATGCAAAACCACATATTCTGTGTTTATATACATATACTTATGTGGATACATATAAATACACATCCCCCCACACATATACATATCTATGTTTCTTGTATATACTAAGTATATGTCTGCTATTTGCTACTCTGTTAATTATTTGCACTTTGCAGAGTAAATGAGGCAGCCCCCAATGGCCTCTAATTTAACCAGCAACTCTCCGTTTGCTGAAACTGGGCTCAAGCGCACTCTGATCCATAAGCTAGGGTCCTCAATGTCTGACAGTTCTGTAACAACAGAGTTACATTGGTGTGTGTTTGGAGCTGTGCACAAAGGTACTCATGAACCCCACTGCTGTGCATGTGCACAGCTGTATGGAATTAAAAAAATTTTAGCAGTATCAGCCAGAATTTTTTGCATTATAGTTTGTGTTCTCTTTTGTCTGCTGGGGATTCGTTTTTTAATGTATTCTCATTCTCTTCTACTTTATTTCAAAAAGTAGCTAGCGAGTACCAGTCCAAAAAAAGACCAATTAATCTTCCTAAGAATCTTCAAATAATTCCTAGAAGTTGATGCAACAGCTGAATTTCACTAAATTAACATTAAACAGAACTTCTTTTAACAAACACAAACAAATCATTTACATGTGTCTTATTTTTAACAATTTAGAGCATTAAATTAGTGTTAGTTTTATGTTCAAAGATTTTTTCACATTCATTTCTGGTTCTTAGTATTTTTCTGTTTTCACTTGTAGCAAGCAGAGCATTCAGGAACAATACAACAAAGCAAAAGGGCTGCTCTGTGCTCTGATCAAGCATTAATGATCTCTTCCCCAAATACAGACAAATCCAAGGGCTTAGGCACAGATAGAGACAAATCCCAAAACTTCTCCCACTCTGGCAGATAATTATTTGAAAATAAATATTTTGTGCATTTATTAGGATTTATATATATATTTATACATATTTTATATGTGCATTTATTAGGATTTTTTTATATATATATATATATATATATATATATTATAGCCTTATTATGAACTCACAGGTTTTAGCAAAAGAAGCATCTTAGGAAAAGTAATTTCTATGCTGCAGCAGCATGATGAGAATGAGGTGATATCATACTGAAAAAACTGCGTTCCTTTAAAGTTTATAGTTGCAGAGGCAAATAACCTTTATTCGTCATCAAAAAGCAGTAAATTTTTTGTCCATATCTCTGAAGAAGAGAACATATATTTGAATTTTGTTTGCGCAGATACAGTGGGTATAAATAATACTTAAGTTTATTTTTGAGTTCTGCAAAATGGCTTGATACTTGCAAATCCAGTTAGCATATTTTATTATATATTTATCGGCATAGACAAAATTCAAGCAGAGGCTTTCTACATTACCGAGATGTCCAAACAGTATGAGACAAGGTCTGTTCATCTTCAGTCTCACGTTGGGCTGCTTACATGGCACAAAGCGAAGGCAGACCCTTGCCAGGGATCTTCTTTCCAGCATTCCCTCCTTCTGGCAGTGGTATGAGGCCACTTTCTACGCCAAGCCCTTGCTTGGCTCTGCTTCCGTGCCAGCTTTTTTTTTTTTTTAAATCTCTGCATCAAGAAAGGAAGCAAGTATGGGTTTCCCAGTGAGGAGGTGAGCTGAAGAGGAGACATCAGTCAAAGCTGCTGTGGTAACTATATTTTCTCCCAGCTTGAGGTCCACCAGGGAGCAGTGATTTAAGCTGAAGTGTACCTGTACGCTCCCAATGAGTTTTGTCCTGTCCTAAGGGCAAGGAGAGTAGACCTGCTGCCTTTTTTCCTGACCTGGAAAAGGAGGAGCAAGCACAAGGACAGTGTTAGCTCAGCCTGTTCGGCACTCAGGATAGGCCTCCTCCACTTGCCTGCACTGTGGGTTAGGCAACAGTCATTCTAACAGTGGATTCTCACATATATACATATACAGTATTATACAGTAAATTCTCATATACACAGAGAAGTATAGAAAAAAAAAAGCAAGGACTGACTGTAGATTTTCTCCCTGGGAACAATTTCTTCTTTTTTTGGTCTGTAAGTATTTGACAGATAAGAAATATATTCATACATCCATTATTCCTCATTACTTTTCCTGCATTTCCCTGCTTCTAATAAGTATAAATAATTTCTTTCAGAGTGTGAACCCATATCTGCAAGGACAGCGATTGGACAATGTTGTAGCAAAGAAGTCTGTTCCACATTTTTCAGATGAAGACAAGGGTCCTGAATAAGTACAATAAAAATGAATGATGAAAACTCATGCCATCCTCCACTAGATCGTAATATTGCTTATATATAATAATCTATTAAAATCCTTGTGAATGGCAGCATGTTTATTATTTATATAATTGCAGATGAAAAACAGCTGTATTTATAACAGTATGTTCTCCTAGATAACAGAAATATGGTTCTGTTTTTTGTTAAGCTATGGTAAAAGGACATTCCTGTTATTTTTATTTTAGTCATGGAGAAAACTTTTAAAATGTTCGTCATTTTAATAGCTAATGTGAGGTAAATGGTCTTAATGAGAAGCTTGTAAATAGGAGGATGTAAAAAAAAAAAAGAAAAAAGCCCTGTCTGACTTTAGCATTTAATCTTAAATGTTACTATGTTTGACATATGAAAATTATAGTTTCATGTTTTGTTCACAAATATTGTTACTTAGCAAAGACAAAGTATTTATCTTAACCAGAGAATTTTGGCTTTCGGTCTATTTTAATAAACATTTAAGCAATCTACAAGGTTTGCAAAGTGACGTTTTCCAAAATATTTCATAGGCTCATCTGTCTCAGTTATTTCTGTGCAAGTTTAAAAATTAAAGAGCTGCTTTTTAATCATTCCTTGTCCCCAAATCTCTTACACATATTCCTTCTTTATCAAGGAGAATTCATCTCCCCCTCTGCTCTTTTGCCTTAGCAGCAGCATTTGTGCTTTATGAAGTGCTTAAGTTAATGACCCCAGGATACCATAAGTGAATACAGAGGCCGTTATCTGTGTTAACAAGGATGTGTCAGCATCCTTTGAATGCAGACCCAGGATGTGAAGGTCACTGCAGCTGATGGTCTGAAAGACTGTGGTAGTCCATAACACTGCTCTGAGGAGCAGAGGAACTTTATATGGCAGCAAACTGAGGTCTGGCTTTCTTGAACATGAGAACATAAAATCAAATAAGATTTTTCTTATTTTCAGGATGCATCTGAAAACATACAAGCCAAACAAGCTATATACATGTGGCACTGGAATAGCATTAGCTTACAGCTTTGAACTTCAAATCTATGAGAAAAAAATTGTATAGCTTCTTTCCCTGTCTACAAAGAGACATGGTAAAATAACAGTAATCCTTTAGATAAAGCAGATAAGACTAACGGGAACCAAAGGTCCTAGCTACGTATGATTTAACAACGTCACAAATATGACTGTGCACAGCACTTGCTTTTTCTGTCCTACCAGTAAGTAACTCAGAATAAATGATGCATGCAGGGAGTCATTCCTCAAGTTATTTACGGGTGGATTGCAAAACTCTGTGCCATTCGAGGCTGAACTATAATATCTTTCATCTTATTTTCACTTTAAAAAAAATGCTGGAAGGGAAAGCTAAGAGCGGGCTTTATAACTGCATATGGCATGAAACTGAGGAGTTTCTATGAAATGCTGAGTTCCTTCAGCTTTCAGTGCCTCAAAGCAGGGCAAGAGCAGGCCAGGTGCTTGTGGGGTAGGACACATCTTCTATGCATATTTCTATCCTCACTCCCATTCAACTCATGTATTAAGAGCTATGGAGGAGCAAAAGTTGTCTCCAGAACAGAAAGGACTGTACAGTGGCACAAACCTGAGATCTGAGCACCAGAGATTGTGGTACCACAGTGGTCCAAAGAACCCCAGATTGTCATCCCCATCTTCTGACCCCAGCCAGCCCCACTGCTGCTACAAAAGGTTTTGACTGGTCAGTGGCTTCACTTCCACTGCTCTGATTCCAGCATTTCCTCAGCTGCACAACTCTTACCTACTTTTAAAGACACCTAAGTTACACTGTGTCCTTGTTATCTACAGTAAAAGCCAGTTTAATTACAAAAAAGAAAAAAACATGATTTTTTTTCTTAAGTTTTTAGTATGGACCAGTGCAAAATAAAAGGATGAATATATGGTAAATATATGGCGAAAAAAAAAAAAAAGGGAGGGGCAAAGAGGTAATTTATTCTTAATAGTATCAGAAGAGCTCCAACTGACTTGCTGGCACTGCACACCACCAGAGCTGAGGAGCTGCCCTTCCACCTATGTGCACACAGAAGGAAAAGGAAAATTACACACTTAGAAATATTTTTGAGATATTTTTGTCTTAAATACAAGCAAAACAAAAACAGTAGCAACAAAACAAAACAAAAAAAAACAAACAAACCACCATCCTTATGTTGCACAATACAATGATGTGCTTTACAGGAACTGGCCGCTAGAAGAAATCAAATGTGGAGCCATACCAGCCACAGTCGGAGCTCATCAGGCAGCTTCAGTATTCATCCACAAAGGCTCAATAGCACCTCTGTGAAACTCTGATAAATTACAGCTATTGCACCATAATGGAATAAATCAACCTAATTTTGGTTTCATATTAGAGCTACCTTTCTGTACTGGGATAAGTAGTTCTGTATTCATTTAAAAAAAAGGCAAAAAATGTCCCGTCTAATGCTTTCAACAGCAGTCCCAACATTTTAATTAGTTTTATACAAAGAATCATCACAGTGCTTGTCTTTTGGAAACAGGGAATAAAGATAGGAACTATCTCCTCTGTAAGAGCTTATGACACCTGTACAATCAATGAACATACAGATGTTATAGTATAGCAGAGAGCTTGGCTACATAGTTACACCAAAGCAGAAAATAGAAAAGATAGGGACACTCACCCATATCCTAGGCTTGCTTAGGAAACTCCAGCAGAGTGGATTTCAGAAGAGATCCTTCCCCTCTGGTAGTCAGCTCTTAAATGGGTCTAGGAGAGGTGGAGCCAGGCTCCATCCCTTCCCACAGGGCAGGTGAATTGCCTTCACCTGTGCTCCTGTGGCTGACTCATTGCCTGCCTCAGGTGATCAATCAGAGGTTCAGGCCATGATTCAGCAGTTCCCATACAGACACCAAAACAATGTATTCAAAGATGCCGAAAAAGTTGGTCATCTCTAACAGGTGTAATCATCCCTGTTGCACTCACTGTGTGCATGAATTAAGGGCCTTGAACATACCTATAGTCATTTAGAATTTTCATTATTTAGAAAGCAAAGTTAAGATTTTTTTTTTTTTATAAAACAAGTTTGTTAATTACCTATCACACATTTCAGACAATTTGCTGAAGGAATTTATGCAAAATAATGAGATTCTGTTGGCATGTCTGCATTCAGCTAACAAAACCATGCTGACTGTCTACATTACACACAGGACCACTAAGTAAAGCCAATCTGAATCTTATTCTATTGAAATATGGTAAACAAATTTAATCTGCAAAACTGATGAAGACATTGGCAGAAAGATAAACACCATCAAGCCAGTTAAGTTTCTGGATTTGCTGTGGATAAAGCAACATTCAAGCATCTTATTATTCCAAATGTCAGAAGCTAGGGATGAAGAACTTAAAAAAAAGGAGAGTTGAGCCGAGGTCCTCAAACCAGATCCATAGCTGGTAGCGGCGTGAAAGAGTTGAGAAGGCTTTGTTTTCATTTTCATTCTGTACAAAACCCAGAAACAAGTGTTTCTAAACAAGCATATAAATTTGTTCAAAAAAGCCTGTAGCAACACCAACACAAAACAAAGTTGGATGCTTCTGGTCTTTTGGCTTGTAAGCTGGTTAAACCAAGTCTTACCTCTTTTGTAATGCTGTCCTGTGAATTAATTTTCAAGCAGATATTTCTTTCTTACATGCCGGTCTGGAATGTAAGAATTGTGAGATGCAGAGTTCAAAGATGGTAACTTCTCCGCCAACTTCACAGACTCAGGCTCATGGAAGGAGAAAGGGAAAGTGGGCAGATGCTACAACATCTTCTACACAAAAATGTAAACTGTATATAGGCAGTTTCACATGACTCACAGGGAGATGAATGGGCTTGCTGCTTTATTAGCAGTGAATCAGTTTTATTTGGATTCATGCAAGCACTTTCAGTAATCTTAAAAGATGTTCAGGAATCATTTCAAACAGTGAGACTTCTTTTTAAATAATTAACATGTCCCTTAAAAGGTCTTGCCTTCTCACAATGCCTAGAGCCAAAGACATACTACAACCATGAGCAAAAATGGTAAGTTCTCTTAAAGTACTCAGCTGCTGGCAATGATGTACTTGGATGCAAATTAACTAAAAAATAAAAAGCAAGTATAAGAAAAGGGTGTAATTGCCATCACGAAGGGCCCCATGAACAACAAATGGTGTTACAGCATTTTATCCTAAGCTGAGCTGTCAAAATATGAGACAATGAAAGAGTTAAAGGATCAATTCTCAGGTACATACACAGTCAAGGTCTAGCACACTCAAGCCTTCCGCTGCTTGGTGAAGAATGGGGTTGAATTCCAGTTCATGATTCTAATTCACCACAAGTAGTATGTAGTATCTGCTCACATCTTTTTTTTTTTTTTTTTTTTAAATGATGCTAACTGCTTTGCCGTGATTCTATGAATCCTGCTGGCCACGCGTGCAACACATGGGAGCACAATAAATCTTAAATGATGCAAATATCATGGCAGTAACATTACCAATTGGGACTGAGAGAGCTTAAAATAGTGTCACTAACATTTATGTTTTAGTATGTTACACAGGT